GCATATAAATAAAATCAACATTCAACATTCAACATTCAGCTTTGGACATGGAAGGAATTGGAGAGGATATTTGAGTTAGAGAAGGGAAGAGAGCTTGTTTTGAACAGAATAAACGACATAAACATCAGGTGGAAAATTTTTAATGTGGTGTAATAAAACTGTGATGCTTTATAAATATTCCACCCACTCCAAAGACTTGGAAAACATGACTTTTCAAAGGGGGGGGGAGAAGAAACCCATGCCAATTCATGCTAAATCGGAAACAAAGCACTCAGTCGGATCTCGCATTCAATTAAAACGTTTTGCATCTCATTCGAATGAACCTGCAGGCATGAAACAAGAATTGAAAACTGAATGTCTGTTTTGCAACCATTAAAAAGGGGGATAAGGGGGGGGGACTGCACCCCATCTTCTTCTATAGCCGAGCTTGGGAGACTCTGAGAACAATCCTTGGGGATTTTATTCCAGCAATGATTCCATTTGGAATAAAATCGTCTTTCATCCTGAGTGGAGAATGCAGGTTGAGTCGGTTTTAATTGCTTCATGGCACAAAGTTGGTGGAGAGAGTTTGGATGCCTTTGATCAAGAGTAAAAAATCTGGCTATGGAAAAGAACGGGTTCATCCCTGGACAGCTTGTTTGTTCGGAATGGTATGAGGCGTCCTGCTCAAACAGGGGATGGACTAGAAGACCTCCTAGGTCCCTTATAACTCTGTATTCAAATCTCCAGAGCACCAGAAGGCAGGACGAGAAGCAACGGGTGGAAACTCACCAAGGAGAGAAGCAACCTAGAACTAAGGAGGAATTTCCTGACAGTGAGCAAACAATTCATCAGTGGAACAGTTTGCCACAAGAAGTTGTAGATGCTCCCTCACTGGAGGTTTTTAAGAAGAGAGTGGACAACCATTTGTCTGAAATGTTATGGGGTCCCCTGCTCGAACAGGGGGCTGGACTAGAAGACCTCCAAGGTCCCTTCCAGCTCTATTCTAGTCTGATTCAACCAAGGATTTGATGAAGCCAGTCTTGATGGAAACCAATGGAGATCTCTTATGCCATTCAGCTTAGATTATGATCATTCTATCCACAGCAAACCCACTATTTTTTCTCTCTCACTGGCTGTGAATAATGTCCATCTGACTTTTTTTCCCATTCCTGCATTAGGTGGCAAGGAGACAACGGTCCCTCCGACAGAGAATCTTTCTGGATGGGTGAAAATCACCTTCCTTCTCAATTTTTAATGAAACCTTGTTTTGATGGTGGAAAGGGGGCATTCGGCACGCTACTAAATTCCAGAGGGCATCACTGCAAATGACAGAAATGATGCAAATCACATTTTTGTAGTCAACAAAAGCGATCCCTATTAAATTTCACACATGGCCTATGCAGCCCGGAAAACCACATTCATGGAAATGAAGGTTTCATGGCATTCCTTACACTGTGAGTTGAGTCTTCCTTCTCCTATCTGGTACCCAAGAGCCGAGGTGGCGCAGTGGTTAGGGTGCAGTACTGCAGGCCACTTCAGCTGACTGTTATCTGCAGTTCGGCGGTTCAAATCTCACCGGCT